CAGGAAACCAAAATCAAGTGGGATCATTCGATTTCTTTTTTTCCCCACCTCCTCGACCCTGAGTCCACAGAAATGCATGAGGACCCAGTTGCTCTCTCCTTCATCAACCGTTCGAAGTTTTAGTGGTATTTTGCTTTAAAGCTAGTCATATGCTGACAAGGAGTTACAATTATCAGCCCTGCTGGAGTTACAGAAATACGTCCTCAACATCAAAAGATTGTTTTCTTAAATGATAATTAGTGTCTCCATGGGTGAATTGTTTCATAATTTAACACAGTATGAATTATTTTTCTCTACATAAATAAGTTGAGGCTCTGTGACCATGAGGACCTCTGCCATTTCTAATTAGTTAAGGCATCGGTATTAATTCCAAATTAGCTAATTATGCTTGGGAAAGTAAATTAATCCAGAAAAATCTGTCATCTGTGCAGGTAAAGAAGCCTACCCATATTTTATTTTTGTCGACATCTTGCTTCATACAGCGACGTTCAGTAATGCACCATGGTTAAAGACCCATCCTACAATTTCTATTATATAAATGAGGCCATGTTTCCATCTTAGCAATACTTGGACTTACACACTTGATTTAGACTTGGTACAAGTTTAGGGCATTTGAATTGTCATTCAAAAGGAGAATTCGTGTAAAGCGGTGTGAAGCAGACCTTGTTAGCTTCTAAATGTCTTGGACTGCAGCGTGCCGAAACGTTTGCCACGTGGCTGCCCGGCCGCTCGTCAGCAGCAGCAGCAGGAGCAGGCGGCGCCGTTGTCTGAACCGGGGCAGGGCAGAGCCCGCGCTGCTGCCGCTGCCCTCCCGCCGGCGGCTGCTGCTGCTGGGCCTGTCCCAGTCCCCCCGGGCTGCGAGTTCATCCGTACGCAGCTGCTCACCGCTGGCATCTTAATGTGCCCTCTTTTGTAAACAGGCCAGCTGAGAACTGCGGCAAATGTTTGTATGTCTCAAAAAGGTGTTTTTTTTTTTCTTTTTTCCTGTGCAGCTAATCACATTTGTCATTAAGTCCTTAATAATATCCCTGAGTATTTTTGCTTTGCCATCTAATTCAGGAGCCCAAATTGCTTTGTACTGCTTACCTGTCCCCAGGTGGGACAGAAGTGTAGGCCTTACCTGCGTCCCAGGAGCTCACGGTAGCGTTTCTATTAACTACACACAGAAACGTTCATAGAAGTTTTGAATTAAAAAAAATCACTTAGAAGCTGCAGTGCAATGTGGCATCAGTTTTATTACTTTCTACTGTAATTTAAAAAATACTTGGCAAAAGCTTGATGGCAAAAGCTTGATCCTGATCTCAATCAGGATACTAATTACTTTCTTAGTGCCCAGTGCCAGTAGTGTATATATGTATGTATAAACTAATAATATGTATAATAATATACATATAATAATACTAAATACGCATAAGAGGTTAAGCTGCCTACCCTGATTTGTGTCTTACATTAAGCTTTTCTTGTGAGCTAGCTGTATGAATTTGAAAGTTCAGTTTTATTTGTTGCAACCAAAATACGGTTCTTAAATATCCTGCTGCCATCACTGCAGCTCGAAATTTTCCTACTTAAAACACATAGAAAATGAAGGTTGACGCTGCTTGCTGTGGCCTTGTCCTCTGCGCTCTCCCCCAGTGACGCATGGGTGAAGGCTGGAGCCGTCTCCAGGCTGTGGCAGCCAGAGTGGGTGCGCGATGGCCGTGATCCCCTGGTGCCCGGCTGGGTGCGCGATGGCCGTGATCCCCTGGTGCCAGGCTGGGTGCGCGATGGCCGTGATCCCCTGGTGCCCGGCTGGTTGTGCGATGGCCGGGATCACCTGGTGCCCGGCTGTTATTTGTTGCAACCAAAATACGGTTCTTAAATATCCTGCTGCCATCACTGCAGCTCGAAATTTTCCTACTTAAAACACATAGAAAATGAAGGTTGACGCTGCTTGCTGTGGCCTTGTCCTCTGCGCTCTCCCCCAGTGACGCATGGGTGAAGGCTGGAGCCGTCTCCAGGCTGTGGCAGCCAGAGTGGGTGCGCGATGGCCGTGAGCGCCTGGTGCCCGGCTGGGTGCGCGATGGCCGTGATCCCCTGGTGCCAGGGTGGGTGCGCGATGGCCGTGATCCCCTGGTGCCCGGCTGGGTGTGCGATGCCCGTGATCCCCTGGTGCCAGGGTGGGTGTGCGATGGCCGTGATCCCCCGGTGCCTGGCTGGTTGCGCGATGGCCGTGATCCCCTGGTGCCCGGCTGGTTGTGCGATGGCCGCGATCCCCTGGTGCCAGGCTGGGTGTGCGATGGCCATGATCCCCTGGTGCCAGGGTAGTTTCCTGTTCGAGTGCCCATCTAGCACCTTGCGATTTGCACAGTTAACAACAAACACCTGCAGGATACGGCCAGTGAGTTGAGCCACTGCACCAGAAGCTGGGAAATTCTGGAGGCCCTACTGCTGTTACTGTATTGGAATTGGATGGTCAGAGGAGCCCCATTTTTGGTTAATTAAAGATTTGTGAAACTCCAGGTGAAGCTGAGCAATGAAGCTGAGCAGTAGCCCAATTGTTTTTAAACTTATCTGGGTAAAGAGAAAGTTGGCAGAAATCGTTTTTTAGATTGAGAACTGAACGGAAGGAAGATCCATGGGATTCCATTCCAGAGAGCATTTGCAGTCTGCACACAGTGGCAGAACTCGGTGTGCGGCCCCAGGGTGCTGTGGTTGCTCCCGGGGAGGGTGGGACCTGGATCATGGATTTCAGCAGTGTTCCTGGATGAATCGGGGCATAAACCACTGTCGTTTTACATTGCAAACAGTGGCTGTGAGGCTAGAGGCATAAATCAATCTCCCTTCATGAATTCTCCTCTTTATAAAAAATCAAAGCCTAATACTGCTAGTTGAAAGCAGTGTGAGATGCAATTACCTAACGCGGTCACTGGCTCCTACGCTCCTGTACAGGGAGGAAAGGCCTGAAATTGAAAAATAAGCCCCCATCTTACACAGCTAGCTGCAAAGACAAACACTTACTTTGTTTGCTGCAGACAAATCTCATATTTTTACAAATAAATGTAAAATATTCTTAGAAATCGCTAGATAAGAGAAATATTTGAGATATAAAGCAACCTTTATTTTTTTAATTGAACTCCAGATTTGTACATAGGTGGCAGTTTCAAAACGTTACAGAGTTTCTAATGATAAAAAGCTATTTCAGAAAAAATCAATTATTATTAAAACACAAAAAAAGCATTTGTTTTTATTTTAGAATGTCATACCTCTGAAATTACTTTTTAGACCACTATATGCAAGTACTATTAAAATTTGAGGGAAGACTTTGTTCTGAACTTAGGTTTGGCTGTCCCAAGCTTCATACACTCAGTTCAAATTACATCCTTTCACAAGCAGGCATATGAAAAAGCACTTCACGCTTGTGTGCGTTGTGCCGTGCAGCTCTGTGCCAGAGCAAAGAGAATGGGGGGGATCGGATTCTCTGCGCTCCCTCCAGTGCTGCCTCAGCATTAAGATTTGCACTGATGGGGTTGGAAGATGTAAGTCAGAGCCTGTTCTTCCCGTGCGGAGCAGGCAGGAGCATTGGACCCTCCAGGAAACAGTTAGCAGGGGTTCCTGAAGCTTCAGGTCACCTAAGAGCAAAGTTTGGAAGTGCTTTGTGGCTTAGGAGACATCTATGCCCATAGATCTTGGTAAAAGTATTAGAAATAATGTGTGCTTCACTTCCGATGGACTTAGCACGTGGCCTGTTTCAAAGGAATCTAGTTCTCAGTTCCCAGATGTTTCCTCTAAAGCCTGAAAACATTCAGTTGCAGATTGAAA